ATGATCTAATGGTAACAAACTAAGGAGAACTTAGCAAGATCTATTTGTTCAGATTCTTCTTGGCTTCTCTGTGTAGAGAAGCCCTTTCCCTCCTTCACTCCAGTTATGGGGCAAGACCCTCTGGAATATGGGTCTATAGACTACTTTCAGTGGAGGTAGATCAAGAGAGTGACTTCTCTAGGTTTTATGGCTTGCTTTGAGGGAGATGAGTTCTAGTTTCTATGACATGCCTTGGGGAATAAGTAGGTAAGTCTAGTTTCCATGACCTGCTTTGAGGGAGAAAGAGAGAAGGAGAAAAGAGGGTGGAAGAAAGTGAGACAAGATGTCTTGCTTGGGAGGCCCTTCCAATCTCGATCTCCTTCAGTTCAAAGCACTCAGGGTGCCAAGATACCATACTTTGGGTTATCATGTTCTGAGCCACAACAGTAGCATACTGAATCTCAGCAAGGTTTTTATCTAGCTCGATCAGCAACTTGATAAAGAAACTTTGCAAGAATTGGGTTTGTCATGTCCCTGGACTTAGGCTAACGCTCCTAAAACTTCTTGTGAAGGGAATGTTTTATTTTCTCAATCCTTGGAAGAGATTACTTCATAGTGGGTAATGAACAAATGCCTGTTGAATTAAAAGGAATCCCCCTCTAACCTTAGACGACAAAATCCTGAAAATATTTCTCATTGAGGCTGCCATCCCCCAAGGTATTCAGAGGCCTCCCTTTTCTGATACTTTCCTCAATGGCCAGACTTGCTTGGTAATTCTCTTTCTTCAGTGCTGAATCAACATCAACTTTGTTTTTAATCCATTATTTAGAGTACAGATTAGTAGTCTATTGGTGTGGGGTAAATTACATACAGGACTAAAAATTATAGATCCAACATGAGTACTTAGGAAAACTCTAAACACAGCCTCCCATAAGTCCAACGAGGAATCTAATTTCCAAGTCAAGTGGCAAAAAATCTAGAATTTTTTCCTTGTTTTCCTTATCCCTTCACTTGTGCTATAGCAAAATACTTAACTGTTTTGAAAACTAGTTTCCACAACTGTGAAAAAGAAAATTACTTGGAAATGATTATAGACAAGGATCAAGGAATAAGTGAAATAACAATTATCAACTTTCTATGAAGAAAATAAACCTTTCTCGTTGACTCTTCAGAATTATCTTTCTGATTAGGCTGAGTTACAAATTCAGGCAGATTCTTACCATGGAAAATAGAGATTTCATGAATTAATTAAAACTCATTTGTTTCAACCCATCTATTCAGCAAGTACTTATTGAGCACTTATATGTGCTAAAAACTTTACAGGTGATGAGAAAACAGTGATAAACAAGGTGGACACTAAACTGGTCTTCAATGACCTAATGAAAGGGATAAACACTAAAAACTAAGAATATAAGTTATCACCTTATTCAAGTTGTGAATAGTCCTAAAATAAAAACTACATTGTGTCATGAAAACATATGCAAGTGATACTAATCTAGTGTGCAGGATTAAAGAAGGAATATCTGAGGAAGGAATTTTAACTGAAGCCTAAACATGAGTTGTCAAGCAAAGAATAGTAAAGAGAATAAGCAAGGAAACATTTGGTTTATTTGAGAAGCTGAAACCAGGCAAGTATGACAGCTGTACTATTGTAATTCACTTGCAGTAGTAACAGTTTGTGGTCACTTTTGCCATCTTCTCCAAAACACAGAACTAACTTTATCAAGATTCTAGGAATACTTTTTCAACTGAGTGTGTAGAAGAGACAGGGAAGTTTAGGACATAAGACAATGACTCAATGCATTCTGGAATCTAAGCTGGCTAGAAAAGGAAGAAAGAAAAAGTTAGGATGACAGCTTGAAGGAATACATTTCTGATGTAGTTTGAATATGTATGAAACATACTGAAATCACATGGTTTGGCAGGTATTTCCATTGGACAGGGTGTAAGAAGGTGCCTAAGACTAAGTTTCTGCCTTCGAGGAGCTCATAATGATGGCAGCAGGAGGCAGACAAATCCTAGACAGACAGGGGCAGGTCCCTGGTGAAACCCTACCTTCAAACCAAAGACAGCTTAAAGCCTGAAAGCCAAGCTAAAAATCCTGGGTAAGTCCACAACTGGATTGAGAACCTCTCTTTCCATATGGCACACTTTCCTCTGATTGATCCTCACCCTTCACCTATTTTACATATACCTTCCCTTCCCTAATTAGTTTTTTACACTGTTGTGCCCACCTTTGAGTGGTGCTTTTGTTTTAGCCTTTTCTGCATACTCACAAACCAATCAGCATGCACTGCCCATTCTGATCCCATAAAAGCCTCAGATCCAGCCACACCGAGAGAGAAACCATGTGACTTCTGGTGGGAGACCACCCTTATGTCCCTGCTCTGCTGAGAGCTATTTTGTTGCTCAGTAAAATTCTTCCCTGACCTCTTCACCCATTTATTGTCAGTGTGATCTCATTCTTCTTGGACATGGTACAAAAACTTGGGACCCACTGAATGTAGGTATATTGGAGGCTCTAAGAACTGTGGCCCTCTGCCCTCTGCTGGCAGAGGGCAGCCACCCCATGCAACAGGAAGCAGTAGCAGGGCCAAATTAGACCCAGAGTCGTGGGCTGGAGCAAGGTAAGGGGCTGACAGAGCTGTTAAAGTGCTGCCATTCATCAGGCTGCAGATAACAGTACTAAAAGAGCTAATTAGCACACTATAACATCCCCTCTGAGGCTTCAGGGTCATGGACACCCTTGCCTAGTTGCCACCACATTCCCTTTGTCTGGACGCTAAAGTCCACCACAAGAGTGGCTTGTGACACTCCTGGTCCCTGGTCTGGCTGCAAGCCCTGCACAGACCCTGCTACTGTGCTGGCACTCAGAACAGCTGGCCAGACCCCACACTTTCTCGCTCACCCACCCTCTCCTGCCAGGGACTGAGTGCACAGTCACAACCACTGTGGGATCTGCACCAGAGTGTAGGCCGGGAATGGCCCAGCAGACTGAATATATGGGGCATCTTCTGCGGCAAACCTTGGCCTGAGCAAGGCCTGGGCAGGGGCATCACCATCCAGAGGTCTCCAGCTGGCAAAAGTGGCTGAGAAAAATTCTGCATCAATAACATAGCTGTGGGCAGATAAAGATATAAGCAAATAAATATGCCAATTTTTAATAGTGGCATAAATGAAGCAGCCTCTACATGTGTCTTTTCTGGCTACAGGGCATTACAGAAGCAAAGAAAATATCAACATATACCACACACACACACATACCATACACTCACATACACACAGGATCTTATCTCAGAATGCCCATTTTACTCTTTACTTCTTCCTCTCAAGTAATTTAATATGTTCATCTTGATTCAATGTATGTCTTCTTTTGCAGTGGAGATCTTAAGAAATAGGTGTTGTTATCTTGGGATAGTTTCCTAACAAGAGCTTGAATAAATCCTACCCAACTCCACCCAACACATTCTCCACCCACACCAAGTTTTATTTTATGTAAAACAAAACAAAAACAAAAACAGGACACTGAATATGATAACATAAAAGAAAAATATCACTTCTGGAATTATTCTCTCTAAGAGTCAGGGGAGTGCAAATAAAGTGTAAATAAACATAAATAAAATATAAATAAATGTAAATAAAGTGCAAAGATGTTAGTTTTACAGAAGGTCGCTCTTTTCATTCAAGTCTTGCATTCCCTACAATGACCCTAAGGAAGGACAGTACTTATGCATGACACTGAGGACAATGGAACCATTGAAGAGTTTCAAGGTACAAAGTGTCATAATCATATGTGAATTGTAAAATGATCCCTCTGGCTTTTATAGAGAAAGTGGATTGGATGGAGCAAGAGTGGAACCCCTTCAAAAAGATTTTGGAATACTTTTGGAGAGACAGATAATAGATTAGAGCCCAGTCAAGCTCAACAGCCATAATAAAGGTAAGAATGTTATGAATGTATCCACTGGAATAACTTATAACCACCTCAGACTCAAATAATAAACCTAACGTTGACTTAATTTTCTTTGAGAGTAATTTAGGAGAAATAAAGAATAAATGATAGATTTCTTGCTTGGAAATTTCTGTTTTTGATAGTGTCATTTAGGAAGACAGAAAAGAAAGAGGTTTTTTTTATTATTTTTATTTTTATTTTTTTTTAGAGAGAGGAAGATAGTACGTTTCTATGCAAATTTTGGAGAAATTAAGTTTAAGAAGCTTGAAAACCATTTTTGTGAGTAGATACCCAGGAAGTTATTGGCTAAGGAGTTTAGAGTCTGGAATCATTCAGACCTGGATTTAGATCCTGTAGATCTATTAATTACCTTTCTGCAATCTTTATGTTTTGGCTTCCTCATCTGTAAACCAAATTAACTAATATTACCCTCTCATAATTATTTTCTTAATTAAATATATAAATACTTATAAAATACAGGTCTAGGGTTATGAAAAACCAAGGTTGGAATTTTCTCGGAGCATACAATTAAATACACAAAATATAAGCAACTCTATGTAATAAGAGATGGATAAGGGGAGAAAGTAAAGGGCACAGAAGGAAGCATTAATAATGTATAGAATCTGGACTAAAGAAGTGTGAAGCCATATGTTTGAGAATTATAGTAGAGAGGATTGATAACTACTTAACAAGGGAAGGCAAGAGGCTTTACCTTTAATTCATAAGCTGAGAAACACGGGGGTACATTTCCATGTTAGAAAATATGCATCCTTCAAATATACTAAGATTAGCATTAGGAAAGATACAAGCTTTAGTTTTAGTGCTCTACTGTATTCGTCGTCAGCTTCTTCACACAAGTGGTGAAAAAAACTAAACCAAAGAAGTCCTTTATTTTCTAGAAGTTTATAAGATTTTTCTCTCTCCCCTCTCCGTCTTGCCTATACTTTGCACATAGGTAGAATGTTGAAATTTCAAATTAATAAGAGTTACAGCTTTATCTTTATGTTGCCCTATGTTACACAAAATTTCACCAAATCAATTTTACATACATTTCTCCTTCAGTGTCCACTCATTGTGACTTCTTCAAAGAGAAGAGGAGAATAAATTTGTCCTGTGTCTGCTTTGTCTTCACTCCATAAACAATAGGATTTAGAGCAGGAGGGATGGCCACATAGAGGTTGGCAAACAGGATAAGCACATTTTGAGGAACACTGTGCCCAAAGCGATGAGCAAGGATGGAGAAGAAGGCCGGGGTGTAAAACATGAGGATGACACAGACATGGGAACCACAGGTGCTGAGGGCTTTTTGGCGGGCACCCTGGGATGAGAGTTGGAATACAGCACAAAGGATGAAGGCATAGGAAACAGCAATGAAGATCACATCTGAGATGACAGTCATGAGAGGTACAGCAAACCCATACCAGATGTTGATGGAGATGTCTGCAGATGAAAGCTGAGCAACACCTATGTGCTCACAGTAGGTGTGAGGGATGATATGTGTCCTGCAAAAGGGTAACCGTTTTAGCAGAGAAACATCTGGTAGGATGATGGAGAAGCTTCTCACAACAATGCTCACCATAAGCTTGATGATCACTTGCGGAGTCAGGATTTTGGTATATCTCAAGGGGAAGCAGATGGCCACATAGCGATCAAATGCCATGGCCAGCAGGATGGCTGAGTCCACCACAAAGCTGAAGTGGAGGAAGAACATTTGAGTTAGACAACCAGAAAAGGTTATTTCTTGGGAGCCAATCCAGAAGTTACTGAGCAGTTTGGGCACTGTGGCAGTGGACAAGATGAGGTCTGTGGTGGCCAGCATAGAGAGGAAGAAAAACATGGGCTCACGAAGGCTGTGTTCAACTGCAATGAGGTAGAGAAGGATGCAATTGCCCACAACAGCCACAGCATAGATGACACAAAAGGGAATCCCAATCCATATGTGGAACTTCTCCAGGCCAGGTATTCCAACAAAGGTAAAGGAACTGGGGTTATAACAACTCAAGTTATACATGGTCTCTTCAGTCTGGGATCCACTGGTTCTTGAGCCCTGAGGACAAACCAACTGTCAGAATGGGCTGCAAAACCTACAGTTCCCCGCCGGTGTTGAACATTGTTGGGGGCTGCAACTGTCACATCCAGTGTAACCACACTGAAGCACCTCCTGTCCCAGGAAGAGCTGGCACCTCTAAAACTAACCCTTCTCTTGGCCTCAGACCCTTCATTTGCCCTTCTCTTTGGCATATGACCCACCTCATTTCTTTAGATATTTACTAATAAATCTATGAAATAGTTTTATTTTTGTAGGTCAGCAATTTCATATGATTAAACATAATTAATCGGTTTTCTTTTTCAATGCAGATTATTAAGGATAGATTCAGGTTTTAAAGACAGGAAAAAAACAAGTATAAGGAAAAGGAGTAGGGAGACACGGAAGGGAGAGAGAGAATAATAAAAATATTTAAAATATCAAGCTGGATGACGATGAGCTATGAGAAAAGGGGAGCAATTGACTTTTATAGAGCAAATATGTTTCAGACAATGGGTCTGATAAACTGAAGAATGTGCATAAAACAAAAGAAAAATCAATTAAAAGGGAAGAAAAAAGAAAAGGCAGATTCCAACGCTGTGTGTTTTGGTAGAGTTTCATTTCAGAGGGATTGAAATATGGTTCAGAGCGCATGTTTACTGGAACGTTAATATGAGAAAATGTATGTATCAGAAAACACAAGGGACAAGTGAACAACATTACACTGACTCAAGCAGAGAGCAGTGAGTTCAAAGCATAATTTATGACTTCAAAGTCAATGTCCTAAACTCTGGAGGATCTCTGATGTTAGTAAAGGAGACCACTTTACCTCTCCATGAGTCTGACAATGCCTTCATAACAGAAAACACCAAGGGAATTAGTCCTAGGCAAAGTCTAGCAGAGCAGATTCATACCTTCTAAAGATGAAATAAAGAATAATAAAAGAAGTTTTACCCCAGTGTTTTCAGTTCTCGCTTGCCAGTGCTTGGACCTCATCTGTGAGAATCTCCAGCTTTGTACTAAACAGAGCCCACTCTTGAAGGCAGCTTTTGCATTGAAAACACCCTTTGAGTTTTAACTTTGCTAGTGTGACCTATTTTATAGAGTACTTTTGAAAAGGAAAGAGAATCAGGGTCATGATACCGGCAACTGCAACATTAGAGAGGCACCCCAGAACATAAGCCATGGTTTGGGTCTTACCTTCCCCAACAAATTTACAAAGTCCTTCAAAAAGCTTTTAAGGAAAGAGTGGATTTTGTGCAATATCACGCCAGCTCTGTATTATTGTTTGGTGAGGATCTGTAGCCTTCTTCATAAGGAAGAGTAGATCAACCCAAGTAGGATTTAGTGACATCTGCCAAGTCCCTAGTCAAAGCTTTACATAGGTGAGCTTCCCTCCCTTAATTTTGTCCCTGACAGTCATTAATTAGCTGAAGTGGGCGTATTATATTTTCCTAGGAGACATGTGACTAGCTCTCACTGCCAAAAGTCAATCCTCTGAATGAAAGTCTGTTCCAAGTTACATCTCCTGGTCTGATTCAGACTGAACTCCTACTGGCATGCAGCTTATGGGGATAACCCATAGCAGCGGAGTCTTCATGAAGTCCTCCCTAAATTGGTGGTCACATGATCTCTTGTGGTCTAAAAAGTAGTAGACTAAAACAAACTGTGAAAAAAAACAAAATGTCTCTATAATTTATGCTAATTTGCAGCTCAGATTCTTGGAGCACTGATTCACTGCCTCCAGACAGGAAGCACCTTTCACTGGGGTTACAGGGAATACATTTAAAGGTGAGAAAAATTAATAACTAGTTATTAAAACTATGAAGGAAAGCCAAAAGAAAACATCCAAACTAAGGTTTGTTGGTTCAGTCAAATCCTACTCTGATCTCATTTCTTGTACCCAAAGAGCTCTTTTAGCTCACTGCAGCCTCTGTCTCCCAGGCTCAAGCGATCCTCCCATCTCAGCCTCCCGAGTAGCTGGGGTTACAGATATGTATCACTATGCCTAGAAAATTGTTGTATTTTTTTAGAGACGAGGTCTCACCATGTGGCCCAGGCTAGTCTCAAACTCCTGAGCTGGTGCAATCCACCCACCTCAACCTCCCAAAATGCTGGGATTAAAGGGATACACCACAACACCCAGTCCCTCTTTTCTTCTGAGTTCCCTTTTGCAGCACTGGTCACATTAGCTGGTCTACACGTGAAATCAATATTCTCTTACCATTATTTATCTCCTTATTATAGAATCATTGGTGTCATAAAAACCTATTTCTCCCGGGGCCATGTCCTCTAGGACACAACCTCTATTTGAACATTGATTAAGATAAAGTCTCTGTTATTTTATAAAATCAAAGAGCCAGTGTAGGGTTTTTCTTCTTGTTAATTGCCGGCAGTTTTCTACTTACTGGGCTCTCTTCTCTTCTGGTTCACAGGGTTAGTAGGAAGTATCTATTTAGAAGGATGCAAGTAAAAGCTTTAGGCTGATGAAAATTCTATTAAGGGGTAAAATGAAAATATTTATGCATTTTCTCATGTTCCCAGAAGATGATAGGTTATCAGAGCCCCTTTATTTTCTATTCCCACAAAAGGGATAGGACTAACCGTATTAACTATTTTCCCTTGAGATGGAATGTATCTTGGGGTTTCAGTAGTAACCTGTGGATATCAGATTCCTAGGGGATTCAGCCTAAGACAAATCAAACTCAGTCAGTTCAGATAGAATTCTCAAAAGCATAAGAAGTTTTCTGTATGTTCAGTATTCTTTAATTAGTGTATTTGTGTAAACTTGCACCAATACTATACAAATACAACTGAGATTTTCTATATACTTGATTTTGGAAGGTAAACCCTCCAATTATTTATTTTTATTTATTTTTTAGCCATTCTTGGTACTTAGCATTGCCAAGAAAGTTTCATAAGCAGTTCTTAATTGGCAACACACACACACACACACACACACACACACACACGCTTTTAGATTGCATTCAATCTTTTTGTCAATATAGAAATATTTGATATGTTTATAATACTGTATATTCATAGTATAAATATTTTAAATATCATATATCTTCTCATTAATATAGCCTCTTTTGGTTTCCTCAATAATGGATTAAAATGTTCATATGTTCTTAAAACATACAAATACCTCCCGTTTTTAGAAGCAGAATATATTAGCGTTCTATACTCACTATAAAAAATTACCACAAACTTCACAGCTTAAAATGACACAAATGTATCATGAACTATAGTTTTGTAGTTCAGGAGTCTGGCATGAGTCTCATTGGACTAAAAGCAAGGTGTATGGAAAACTGTATGTCTTTTGGAAAACACTAGAAGAAAATTTGATTCCTTGCTTTTCCAGCCTCTAGAAGCTCCTTTCTTTCTTCTTCAAAGTCAGCAATGTTACTTCTACATTTCTGCCACATTTTAAGTCATATTTTCCACTTATTTCCTCATTCCCACTTCCTCTTCTGCTGGTTTTTTTTTTTTTTTGGTGACGGAGTCTCGCTCTGTCGCCCAGGCTGGAGTGCAGTGGTGTGATCTCGGCTCGCTGCAACCTCTACCTCCAGGGTTTAAGTGATTCTCCTGCTTCAGCCTCCTGAGTAGCTGGGACTACAGGCCTCTTCTGCTTTTAAAAACTCTTATGATTGTATCTGAGCCATCCAATAAACCAGGATAATCTCTGGTTTATACATTAGTTTAAGGTTTATCAATTACTTTCATCTAAATTTCATCTGATGATTCTCTTTTGCCATGTAACCCAACATAATCACAGGTTCTGGGGTTTTAGATGAGAATTTCTACTGGAGGACATTATTCTGCATAGTTTCATCATTTGTAAAATATATTTTCCACACTTATTGCTCTAATTTTTTTTAATTAAACATTTATTTTAGATAAAGGGGACACATATGCAGGTTTGCTACTTGGCATATTGCACCCAGGTGGGAGTGTAGTACCCAACAGGTAGTTTTTCAGCTCATATCTCCCCCGCTCCCTGCCCCCTCTAGTAGTCCACAGTGTCTATTGTTTCCTTGTTTATGTAAATGTGTGCTCAGTGCTGGCCTCCCACTTATAAGGAAGAACATGCAGCATTTAGTTTTCTGTTCTTGCATTAATTTGCTTCGGAGTATAGCATCCAGCTCATGTTGCTGCAAAGGACATGATATCATTATTTCTTACGGCTGCATAATGTTCCACATTTTCTTTATCTAATCTACCATTGATAGGTACCTAGGTTGATTACATGTCTGCTATTATAAATAGCACAGCAATGAACATTTGAATGCATGTGTCTTTTTGTTTTATTGTTTTTTTTTCTTTTGAGTGTATACACAGTAATGGGATTGCTGGGTCCGATGGTAGCTCTGTTTTAAATTCTTTGAGAAATCTCCAAGCTGCTTTCCACAGTGGCTGAACTAATTTACATTCCCACCAACAGCATACAAATGTTCTCCTTTCTCTGCAGCCTTGTCAGATCTGCTGGGGCTTTTGTTTGTTTGTTTTGTTTTGTTTTGTTTTTGTTTTTGTTTTTTGCTTTTGGACTTTTTAAGAATAGCCATTCAGATGACTGTGAGGTGGTATCTCATTGTGGTTTTGATATGTATTTCTCTGATAATTAGTGATATTGAGCATTTTTTCATATGCTTGTTGGCTGCTTGTATGTATTATTTTGAGAAGTATCTGTGCACGTCTTTTGCCCCTTTTTATTTTGGTTATTTGTTTTTTGCTTGTTGATTTGTTTAAATTCATTATGGATTTTGGGTACTAGACCTTTCTCAGATGCATAGTTTGCAAATATTTTCTCCCATTCTGCAGGTTGCCTGCTTACTCCATTGACAGTTTCTTTTGCTGTGCAGAAGCTCTGTAGGTCCCACTTGTCAATTTTTGTTTTGTTACAATTGTTTTGTGGGACTTAGCCAAAAATTTTTTGCCAACGCTGATGTCAACAAGGGTATTTCTTTAGTTTTCTTCTAGGATAT